TCTTGAGCAGGAAGGGTAGGGAAATCTTCTATTTGGACTTTTGTTTAATTCATCATTGAACAACTTGAAAATATTTAATCCTCTCTTTATTTATTGTTTTATTCCACACATACACATCTTGCTTGTCTTATGGGCTGAATTTACTTGTTCCTTCCTTAGTAAAAACCTTTTAACACTTTTATTTAATGAGTAACAGAGACATGGCTCTTTATGGGCAATGCAGCGGGTCTTACTACCAGAAAAATGATATTTTTAATCTTCTTAAGTTGAAAGTATTCCAGTAATTAAATCTGGATCTGTAAGGTGAAAGGTCATAATTATTTTAAAAATACATTTATTAATTGCTAGTTATTCTTAATAATTACCACGTTTGGTTTTAATACCAATGGTAAATCATTGTAATTAACCGACCTGGCCCCAAGACAAAATTGTGATCCTTTCAAATCTCATAAGAGGAAAAAAAAGTCTCCATCTTTTTAGCAATCCAAAAGTCACTGAAGCCTCTCCCTCTAAAAGATCATCACTCTCCAGAGACTGTAAAGCCATTTTACTTATAGCTGATGGTTAAATTTGGTGTGACACATGAGTTGGGTAATCATGGTTAAGTACAGGAGATGGTAGAAACTCTTCCCATGCCATCTCGGTTTTCAGAGCAAGGCAAGGTAGCTCAGAGAGTCAGATTTGTCCATCAGTTGAGAGTAAGATGTGCTTCAGTGCTGCTGACGACAGGCAGAAATCTGTCCTCGGGGTATAAAGCAAATGAAGAGCTGTTATGATTTTGCGTGGACGACTAAACTTTCTGCATCCCTTGAGATTAGTCTTCCTCATCGGCCTTAATCAGAAGTGATTAGGTACAGCAGTAAGTGGACGTGGTATTAGGGCACAAGAAAAACATAGGAATTTTTGTGATTCTGCCCTGATCTGCCATGTGGGTAATGTAGCAGTGAAGAGGGAAATCTGGGGAGACGCTGAGTGAGAAAAACTGTTCTCTCTCATAGGTGTGTTTATTTACTGCTATGAGCTTGAACACTTCTCTGGAAGTACATAATCTGAATCTCTCTTTTCACTTCAGCTGTGATTTAAGCTTGCTGCAATACAGTGGGCTCAGCTGAACCTCGGGGCTTTATTAGGATCCAGAATGATAGTTTTCTAGTAAATAAAGGAGACTTCAAAGATACTTCTTCACAAAGATCGCTACTGTCTTCTGTGTCTGTTTTCAGGGGACTATATTCATTAAAAAAAAAAAATAGCAATAATCAAAGAGAGATATAATAAAAAATACAAATATTCTTCGAGGAAATCCCAGGAGATGTTCAAGGCTGGGTTGGACGGGGCCCTGGGCAGCCTGGTTGAGTATTAAATGCAGAGGTTGGCAGCCTTGCATGTGGCAGGGGGGTTGGAGCTTGATGATCCTTGGGGTCCCTTCCAACCCAAGATATTCTATGATTCTCTGAAATAACTCTATGTCACAGATCTTCCAGTTAAATGAGAACAGAGAAATATTTTGAAACCTTGTTATTCTGGAATAGTATTTATGTAAATGCAGCAGAATATATTCACCAATAAACCTGTAGATTAAAGACCTACATTGCAGATGCAGTGCTTAAAGTCTGCAAGATTTCTGCAAATATACCTTTATTAAAGATATAAAAAGATATAATTGTACTGAAAATGTGCAAAGTTAACATGGCCAAATAACAGCAGGAGTTGAAAATGTGGATATCATTTTACATACAGAAGTTCTGTATTCATTGTGACCATTAAAAGCCCCAAGCCATGGGGTTCACCTACAAAACTGGGAGAGGGAATAGATTTTTTCAGGCTTCACTTGTCCAGAGCATGGCAGCAACATTTAAAAAAAAAAAAATTAAGGAAAGGAAAGGGAAAAGGAAGGGGGAAAAAAGAAAAGGGGGGGGGGGGCGGGAGGGGAAGGTAAAATGGAAAAGGAAAGGGAAAGGAAAAGGGGAGAAGGAAAGGAGAGAAGAAGAAAAAATACTAATTCTGACTAAATTAACACATACTTACGTGCCAACTGAAGTATGAGAGATTACCCTAGGGGGCAGCTGGTTACCTGCAGGATTTCGAGGAAGAATGGATTGAATCCTGTGGAGAATAAGTAGTACTTTCTGGTTTTTGGATGACATGCTAACACCTTGAAAGAATTCAGAAGAATATTTACAAAATCTTGAGGAAATTCCAACAGGTTACCAAGCCATGCTTTAAAAATAAGTTTGTAGGTCAGGAGATATTTTTCACTCCTCTCAAAACTCAGATTCCCTACTTTTGCTTCAGGATAAAAATATCTTTAAAAGATAGAAACTAGGGAGTATGCATACATGCTTTGACGTTGGACAGTTTATGTTGTATTTATCCATGTTAAATCACTGTTATGGTAGCTCTAAACTATCACTGCTAGCTACTTAATGTCTTACCTGACATGTGAAAAATGAAATAGATTGGGATGAAAGAGTAAGAGGAGCTTTTTGGATGAAGCCATACAAGCCAGCAGATCTTAATGCTTTAATTTCATGGAATCATAGAATAGTTTGTGTTGGAAGGGACCTTGAAGATCATCCTGTTCCAACCCCCCTGCTATAGGCAGCAACACCTTCCTCTACACCAGGTTTCTCAAAGTTCCATCCAGCCTGGCTTGAATGCTTCCAGGGAGGGGGCACTCAGAGCCTCACTGGACAAAGATTGTCCATTCGGATTTGGAATGTCATTTTCTGCTAGAATAAGGGCTGTTGTTCCAGAAGATCCTAAGAGCAAAATGTTCCTCAATACTTGTTTTTTAAATAATTATCAAAATGTGAAATAACATTTCTGTATCTGTTTTCTGGGGACTATATTCATTAAAAAAAAAAAAAAAAAAAAAAAAGAAGAAGAAGAAACATTTAAATATTTTAATGGACTTGCAGTCTCAGGGTTTAATAAATTAGTGGAGATGAAAAAGCAGAATAAAAAGATTTTCATGATGCCAAAATAAGACCAAGGCTTGAGTACCCTGCAGCTTGTGTGAGCAAGGAGAGGAGGAGAAATGCTAGTACCACCGTGAATATCCTGCATTATTGCCTGGACTTGCAACCAATTCCTCTGGTAGCCATATTTGTTATAATGAATTCCTGGAAATATTTGTGAGATTCTCCAGGGGGCTGCAGTGGCCTTGGGGACACTTGTGAGCACTTCTGCCTTGGTCCCATCCAAAACCCTCTGCAGATACGCACTTGGGAGCCACCAAGAGCCTTTGGCCTCATCCACTCACTCCCCAGACCCATCAGAAACAAGTTCTGGTATTTGAGTACAATCCTGGGGCCCATGAGTTCAGCTTAGTGACTGGGAGGAAAAGAAAACATTATTGTCCTCAGTTAATTGCTTCTTTGTGACAGAACACACTTCAAAGACGCTTTAGTCTCCAGTGCATCTTAGCTGAGAAAAGCCCATATTAGTGATTTTAAAACCCCCCTATTTCCAACAACTCAGATGAGTGAATTTCGTGCTACAGAATATTCACCACCAAGCATCTCCATCAGCAAAAGTGGAACTCGAAATTAGTTTGGGGCTTGGGTGGTATTTTTTTTGTTTTGTTTTGTTTTTTAAAGTGCTGTTTTAATGAGGTGTTTAGTTTAGCACATTTGGCTCCTCCAAATTACCTCAGGGGGATTCATATGCTAACGAACTACACAGCTGTTGTTTGTGAAACCAGCCTAGCACAAGCAGAGCGTGTAGTGCAAAGATTTAAATGCTCTGTTGGAGAGGTCACTGCACTCCTTCCTCTGCTATCAGTTATTAATAATGAGTCTACTACTTAATTGTAAACAATAGATTGGTTGGGTTTGGGTTCAAGTGCTTGGGGGGGTGATAAGAAGGATAAAATCATGGAATGACCTGATTTTATGCAACTGGTGAAGCATTTTGGGGTGGGGAAGGTTGGCAGAGAAGTTAAAGGCACTGGTCATGGCCTGACGAGGCTGCAATGAGCAGGACTGATGTTTGCAATAATTGTTGTTGTATAAACACTCCCTGATATACTTCAAAAGCTTTAAATCTGAATTTCTTAAATTAAGCAGGCTTTGCTCCTGGCAAGAAATAAGCCATTTTCATTTTAAAGATGTCACTTTATATTTAAGGAAATTAATAGCTGGGAAAGTAAAGAAAAAAAAAAAAAAGAAAAAGAAAAAAAGAAAGAAAAAATAAAAGCAAGCAATCTGATTTTTAAAGGCCAGACACAATTTGTATACTCAAGGAGGAATCCCAGTTTCCACCACCTCCTGAGAAGTAATAGTGGCCAAGAGAGATGCTGGCATCGCTCAGCAGGCAGCATGTTGTCCATGAGCTGGGAACTGCTGCTTTGCAGGCTGCTCACATGTAACATATTCCTCATAATGCTGGCTCGTAGGTCATTTAATCATTTAAATATTTGTGCTTTATTACTGAAAATAAGTTCCGTGATTAATCATTAACATCAGAGCAACCTCTGCCGGCTACTGGGGACAGAGCTCTCAGCAGCATAACGCGTTCAAAGATTTGAATTTGATATGCCTGCTGTATGATTCACACTTTTATTGTCTCTCAAACCCATTAGTATTTAAGTACAAGTAATGGTATTTTGCCTAGAATTTAGGCAGAATATAAAATAAATGTACAGTGGGAGCTTTGCCAAGTTTGAAGAACTCCTCATTGGCGCTGTAGTCCCGAGAGCAGCAGCTTCTGGCAAAGTGAACGCAAACACAGAGACTTCCCTGAGTACAAAGCAAGGATCCTCATCGAGGCCCCCATGCCACAGCTCAGATGGCATAATTAAGTTCAAACCAAGGAAGAAAGTCCTTGCCTGGATAAAGACAGAAACCATCGGTTCTTGTTTTCTTTGGAAATTAACTATCAGAAAGACCTGATATTCCTCCAAGTGCCTTTCTAGAAATACAAAAAAAATCCATATTAGAAAAAAAAAAAAAAAAAAAAAAATTCTAAATGTCCTTCTATTGCTGTTTTACAGATGAGAAACTGAGACGCAGACTGATCCCAACTCCCAGCTCTCTCAGATTATTTGGCTGGGAAATAACACTGAGGATCAATGGAAGATCACATCCATTTGGAGGTACAGTCCATTTGTAAGATTTTGGGACATTCTGTATCCTCGCCCAGTGCCACTGCTTGAGGGTGATAGCAGAGATGAGTTAATGTCACCTCCAGTATCCGCGTACCTAACGGTCAGCTGTCCTCAAGGAAGAGGGCTAAAATCAGCAGCTCATTTAACTCAACAGACTGTTGAGAACTCTCCATGCATAAGTTTTTACTGACGTGCATTAGCTGGATGCAAACTGGTTGACTAAATTGCAAAAATCAAATTCATCTTTTCCAGTTTGCAAGCTCCTCTTCTGAGCGCCCATTCAGTATGGAGATACCGACAGTGTTCGGGGATTTTATTTCATTTTTTGTTGCTAGTTCTATATAATGGAAGTATATCAAGTGCTGTGCATAAGATGCTATTAGGACATTAGGATTACTCATCGCAAAGACACGTGTAATATAGAGTGGCTGTTTCCTTGCACAGCATGGAACCAGAATGCCTGCCAATTGGAAATGAAGTCACCTTCCATTTCAGGCTGATTTATCTACAAAATATGAGTTTTCCTGTGGATCTGGAATTGCCAGGCATGTTGGATAGGAAGTAGTTGTGAAACCCAACCTTTCTGGAAGGTGGGGAGCTTGGAAATACACTGACACCCTTCTCCAATTTCTTGGCTCAGCCGCTTGTATTCAGCCGATCTGAAATCCTCTCTTTCAAGAGGGCACATTTTCTGCCTACTGTGGTTTTGCAGCTCTGGTAGCATTAATGCCATCTCCTAGAGCACAGCAGGCTTTTCCATTAGGATCTTGGAAAAGCCAGGTTGGATACAGGCTAGCAGAACCCACTGAAGATTTCAGGACCTCCAAATACTTTGTCTTGTACATTTAAGGATTCCACAAAATACATGTAAGCAGAGATTAAACGTTCACAGGAGAGCACAGATGGTTGAGTAGCACTCATTTTGATCACCAACATTCGTAAAAGTTCTAGCCAAAAGGAAAGGATTTTTCCTTTATGTGAGAAAAGATTGACTTCTGAGACCCTTGTATTTAAATACCAGTAGCTGGTGCATCACCACTGATGTAGGTTGTCATTTCTGATTAAAAAAAAACAAAACAAAACAACTCTGTATCAACATAAAATTATTGTGCAGCAATTTAATGGCACAGCTCTTCTCTATGAGCTCGGAAAACATCCCATTAAGTCTTTCACCAATTGCCACAATAACTTCTGCTGACATGCTCATTTGTTCTCATCTCCGAATAAATCTGCTCGATGACTTCCACAGGACAAAGCAGGGATTTCCCAGGCCGTGATTCAGCACAGATTCATTCCAGCACCTCGGTATTCTCTCCATCTCAGCTCTGGGTGAGGCTGAGGTTGGAGATGCCACTTCACACCAGCTCAGATGGGGGCTGTGTGTACTGCACGGCGCTGGTGTGAGACAGCTGATGAAATGTTTTTTGCTTCTCTCTCGGATCTATTTCAGTGCTCTTCACCATCTGGTGAAACACTTCAAGGAAGAAAACAGCCTTGCAATGTCTCATTTTGCCGTGGTTTTTGAGCATCATTTTAATGATCTTTGTGTCATTTAAGTATGATTACTTGTCCTCTAAGACTTTTCCTGTTTATACTTAAATAGTGTTGGAGCGTAGCCAGACACACTTTAAACAAAATGATAGAAAATAGTACTTTTTTTTTTTTTTTTTTTTTTTTTTTTTGTCATAAAAGCTTAAAAGAATCATTTACAATTTGAGAACATAGTGGCACTTTGCATTCTGGTAGGGTTTTGTCTTTTTTTTTTTTAATCTCCTTGTAGTAGTAGAAAAATAAATGAATTAAACAAGCGTAATTACCAGTTAAATTTTACAAAATACCAAAGAAATGGAAGGCTTAATTCAAAAGGGTGGTAATGTTATAAATAATTAAGTCAAATTGTTTTCATTTTCATGCCGCATATTGTTTCCTTCAGACTGTAATGGTACAAGGCAAAGTATGTGCCGTGCTAGAACAAGACAAATAACAGATAAATTTATTCATAAACACTTTGTGGATTTGTAATTAGAAGTTCACTGCGGCGGTTTTCACTGGTCTTTATTTTTTTTCCCCAATTTCTGTAAATATTTGCATGATTAAATTTTTGCTTTGAGAATGCAGACAGATGCAGAATGCACTGCGGAAGTGCTGTGAAACCTTCCTCATTTCTTGGCTGAAGTGGCAACCAGATCCCCAGCATCCTCAACACAGCATGGCCATCTGCCAGCTGGGTTAGCCAGCACCATGCCTATGGAGGTTGGGAGCTGTTGGGATGGGTTTGTGTGTGGCAGTTTTCCCTCTTTTAATTAATTAATACCCAGAAAAGGAGTTTTTCTGACCCACGGATGATAATGACCTGGTAGATATAAAATTCACTGGACTTCAGGGACCAGCAGTGACTTCTGCCAGAAAAGGGGGGCTGACGAATGAAATGATTGTGTAAGATGAATGCAGCACCATATGCATGAAACACTATGATCATTGCCTACGTTTTGTGGGTCTGGCATGCAGAATGCCTTCAGTGCTGTATCTTCAATGAACCCATTTCAGTGTGAAGTTGTGACAACCTGCGGAGAACAGAAGATCTCCTGACGCCCAATACACACCATTACAAGACTTCAAACGCCAGGTGATGATACTGAAAGGGACATCCAGAGCTCCACCACAACAGCAACTCCTGTTCTGAACCTGTTTGTGGAACTACCTCTTGGTTTATTTTGAGCATGGTACAAATTTACTAAAATTAAACTTTTGAAAATACGAAGACACAGAAGCAAGTTAAACCTCCTGAGTAAATTTGCCATTCAGCACGCTCTAGATGTATTCACTTTTTATGAAAGTAAGACTATGCTAGGATTACCTGTATTTCCTCAGGGTAGGGGTCCTTATTCTGCCCCTGTTGCACTCACACAGATCCTACTGGTACCATAATGTGAGCAGCAGAGTTTGCAGCACTGCTCACAGCTCTTGCCTGCAGGTATCCCATGAACATCAATATCTTCCATCATTGCATCAGTGCAGCGTGAAGTACCAGGTGAGCTTGTGTCTGTGCCCAGCCCCAGGGAAGGATTTGCCATACACTAGTGTGCTAAAATGAGCTGGGCTGGGGTCAAAACAGCAAGGTCCTCAGCTCTGCTGATTCACTGCTTATCCTTCCAGCAGCCCGAGGGAGCTGCAACATGTGTGGTGCTTCCCTTCCCCTCTCGCTGCAGTGGAGCACGGCTTCTGCATAGCACTACTGGCCTCTGCTGCCAGCACGGGAGAGGAGGAGAGAAGAGAAATTGAAGGGGACTTTCCACCTCCCTGCTTTTCTGGAGGGCCTCCTGATCCCTGCCTATGAGCCGGAGGAAAAGCAATCTTTCATCCTTACCTTATTTCCATGCTTACAAATAAAGGTCAAGGCTCCTCTGCTGTATTCAATGCTGTACCAGCTTTAAACAACCACCCTGAAATGTAATTGTAATTAGTTTCCTTTCAATCTTGATGTGAAGAGTGATCTTAAAATGCCAGGGCTGTAGCAGCGCGTGTGATTAACAAGCACAGAGAAAGGCAATGTGTGGAAAAATATGGATAGAAATGAACAAAATGCAAATGTTGCACTGCTCTAAATTTTATTATCCTCTCAGCTCTTCATAAAATACTGTAGACATCATTTGATTATATTTTTAGTCTAGGGAATTAATTTTTAACTAGGGAACTCATTTCTGCCTTATGATTATTCTTCTCTGCAGTGGCCTGTAGGTCTGAACTAAAAAATCACAGTTTTAATTGAGCTAATGATGCCCAGAACTCACATTAATCTCACTTATGTGTGTGTCATGCCATGCAGTGTGTGATATAGCTGCCAGTAACGTGTGCATCATTTCATACCAATGATTCCTCCAGGGGACCAAGTAAATCCTGGCTGGCTTGGGTCTGCATCCCACTATTGTCACTGCCCAGAAGACTCCTTGGAAATGCTGATGACTGGGCAGCCAGCAGAGGGAAAAGAAAATAGCAAAAACAGCATTCATGATCAGCCTCCATGTCCACCCCAGCTCTTTCAAGAGCTTTTAACACCTGCACATTTTGGCTTGTGACATCCAGACTCACAGTAGGGATCAACAAACATTTGGGAATCTATAGCTCTGTATGTTCACCTCATCCGACAGCCACCATCCCACAGCCTCGGTTTTCAACTCTCTGTGCTGGAATCCACATTAAACAGAGCAGTGAAGTTCCAATTGTTTGTTGTCAAAGAGTTTCAGTTTTGTGATGAAAGATGTGACCTTTCTTTGCGGCAAGAGTCCTTTCTGATTGATTAGTAAACATGAGGTAAAATGCAGGAGCACGCCAGCGTTAACTTGGTACTGCCACTGGCTCTGTGCATCAAATATTTTTGCTTTATTTTGAACATCCTGTTAATGAGAAAAACATTCTAATCAAAGAAACGTGTTTCCTTCAATTCTCTGTACAGTGTAATTTGCTGCTTCAGAATGACATGCTCAATTATATCTGTTTTATTCCCAAATTAGAAAAAAAGAAAAAAAAAAGCTTCAGAAAATTATTAACTAAGACTCTTAACAAGTGTTAAGCAACATCCAGTATTAATTATTTAATCATTTTTTTAATTCTTTCTCATCAGGTAAGAAGAGAATAGCATGCTTGTTCAGAGGATGGTTTTTTGCTTAGCACCGTTGTGCTCAGGACTGGACTCCAAAAGCAAGCTCAAGGTAAGAGGCCTCTGCAGACATTGATGGGCAGAAACCTTTTAATTAAAGCCACCAAAGAGGCAGTGTGATCGAGTGCAAGGAACAGCATTTCTATGTGCATTATGGTACATGAGAAATGGGCTGGTGAAGGACCCAACAGAGGCTGAGTACAAGAGAGGGGTGCGCACGCCGCAGAGCAAGCTAACTGGGCAAAGGTTGTGTTCTGGATGAGGACACCAAGGTTCACGTACTCGTGGTCTCATATGAGCACCCCAGCCACTTCCAGCCTCCCCCAGTATTGCCCTCTCTGTCCTCCCACCACCCATTGCCCTTTCCCATTTTCCCAGATCTCACCGCACTCCAGGACCACACCAAAGGAGTTACCTCAGGACGTGGCAGCCTCCTCAATGCTGAGCAGCTTCTCAGAGAGCGTGTGGGCTTTGAGAAGAAGGAGGCCTTTTATTTGTGTTCTGTTCCCTAACATTTGGATAAAGCCTCGTTCATCTCAGCCATCCTCTGCTGCTAGGAGAAACCCCCTGTTTGTGGCATTGTGGAGAGCCCATTTTGGGCTGCTGTGGTCCTCTACTGCTTCTCTTTAGGACTCTGATGATACCTGTGTGAACAAGCAGAAGAGTGCCATGCCAAGAAATGGGCACATGTATTACTTGGGTGCATCATTTAATCAATTCCCTCTGTGTTATAATTTCCTCTGCTACTCAAAGGACCATGGACCTTGCACACTGCTGCCATGATAAAAACTTAAGTTTTGGCATACATCGCTTTCTTTTCACAATCCTTCACATCACTGGTATCTCCTTCTTCCTTTCCTTCAAGTTGCAGCCAAGCTCCTGACTGGATTGGGTTCCTATTGGTGAGGTACAGAAAAAACATGGCAGCTTGGCCCATCTCTTTGGCTCCACCTCTAGAAAGAGGGAAGTCTCCACGTCCACGTGCAAATTTCCTCACACTTCAGCAGCCTGGCCTTAGGCCATCGAGCCACCTTCGCTGGCACTGCTGATACTTGGCATGAAGTTCTCCCATCCTAATTCCTGCTAGAACAGATTGTACAGAACACATCATGGTTTGAAGGCTGTCCAAGAGGTGCTCTGTGGGTTGGAAGTCCTCATCTAGGTCAGGATCAATACTTAATTAAAACCCTTGTGAAGCAAGGCCTGCTCCTCAGCTCCTCTGTTATGGAGGATTATTTGATTCACTTACAGGAGCATGCAGTACTTTGCTAAATCTTTTCCAGAAGTGTTGCCATGAAATATTTCCTCCAAGAGCAATAAAGGACCCTCTATATTTTTAAGTTTGTCAGAAAGACTTTGCCGCAGTATAAAATATAGGTCCCTTCAAGAATAAGCTTCTTGTTAACTGAAATAGTCCCTCTGTATACATAAATGCACAGTGCCATGCACTTTTTTTTTTTTTTTTTTGTGTGTGTGTGTGTGTGTCACAATTTCATTCAAATAAAAACTATTTATGGCAATTCCATCAACTGCCATTTAAGGGGGCTCATTAAGAACAGCAGGATGTGATTAGTCCCACATGGGGAGCCTGTGTTTTATCAAAAGAAAACAACAATCAGCTGGTAGAGCTACTTACAGCAGGGAAAGGAATGGTGAGAAGGAGAGCTGAAGGGAGCAGTGACCCAGGAGAGTGAGTACTGGGTATGAGACAAGAAGCTTTTGAATCTACATTGGGTGAGTTCTTTGCTGAGTTCATTTCTATCTGTCAGCTTTGTTCGGTACCATGCATCCCAATTCAAACTGATAGCAAGTATCTGAGTCAAATAAGTGAATATTTCTGCTAAATGTTGATTGTCACATCCTGTTACTGCATTTTGCTTTCTTCGCCATATGTACTAACATGATGTAGTGGAGCACAACATGATGCAACCTGAGTGATTTAATGTGACATGACAGAAAAATATTGCTGCAGCTTTCAGAATAAACACCTGCTTTTAGCAGTTATTTTCTCTGCTAGAAGCAGTTTCTTAAAATATATTACCTGGATTCTGCTGAAGTATGTTGCACCTCTCTGGATGTGTGTCTCCATAATTTCCGCTACATGTTTATTCTTCATTTTTGTTTATTCTAGATAGCCATGTTGAGTGTGTTTATTGTTTAATTGTGGGGAAATGAAGTAATCCAAACCATGAGTGGAGAGATATATGGACAGACATGTTGTTATTGTAAAAACAAAACAACACTGGTTCTGTCAACAGCAAACTGTATTTACTTATATGTACTAATAATAAGAAAAGTTTGGGAAAACTTGTTTTTCCTCTAAAAACTTCCTTGGATTATTATAGGTGAAAACTGGATAAAGATCATCTCTCCTTGGAGAGATGCGGACACAGGAAAGGCAAACACTGAATTGTTGATTTTGCATTTGCAAATGTAGGTTTTATGAATGGGAGCATTTTTAATAAGAAAGTCAAGGCTTAGGTGAGTCTTCCTAGAATTTTGTTTCATTATCCTTGACCTGACTGACAGAAATATTAGCAGTGGGAAATGTTATTTTTAAGAAATAAAGTAGTTTATTCCTATTGATTTAATATTCTTTCCTTCCAAAAATTCATCCATCTGGGTGTGAATGCGTGAAAGCTAATTAAATTGGCAGCAGTATCTCTGTACCTCTCACGTGGAGAATATTTGTCTTGAGTTAGAAGAGCTTCACTCTCCAGGGCTGATACAGAAGTCATTTCCAAAGCAGAAGGAAAGGGAAGGAAATTCCAGTGACCTTCATCTCATCGGATCACAAAATTCAAAGCAGCTGTTTTACAGGGAAAAAAGAATAAATTAAACAGATCTCCACATTCTCTTGGAAAGGGATAAAACCTTTACCTTGAGGTCAGAAAGCCTACATCCATTTCTGAGTACCCATAAGGTTTCTACCAGCTGTCCTTCTTGTCCATTACCCAGAAAAAGATGCTACCTTGAAATACTGGTGGCAACTCCTACCGTTGCATTTCCCAGAAGTAGCACAAATGCAGGGCCAGGGTCGTGGCTTGGAAAAACAAGTGTCTTCAATGTTGCAGAGAGGGGAGAAAATAGGGTGATTTTCCCAAATCTGTCCTCATGTGTACTGCTGCAGCACACTGCCTGTTGTATCAGCACCTCGGGGCCCTCGGGAACCATCGGTTGGCAGCCAGCCCCAGGTGCACAGCGGGAGCACGGTGCTCCACTCTGTGTGTGCAGCTATGCAGGGGTGTGGGTTTGGTAGCACAGGAGCCAAATTCTTTAGTTTCTCTAAATGCAAAGCACCTTTTGACTTTTGGTAAAAATTAAACTCTCGGAAGGTTTGAGTGAAGTTGGTTTTAATTTATAATAAAAATGAGGACACCGTTGCTGATAATTGTACAAAGCCTCCAAAGAGCTCCATTGCTATGTAATGCCAGCAAGCTGGCAATGTATTTTAATGTATTTATTTGATTATGCATTCATTCATGTATTCAGTCATTCATTCAGACACTTGTTCATTCATCCCTGTCCCTTTGCAGGAAGAGCACATAAGCCAGCAGTGGCATACTTCTTCACTGTCCTGATTTACAGCCATGGCTCTGAGTTGGTATCGATAAATCACTTTGGTCCTCTTCAATCCAGCCCTATCCCTCATTAATAATGGGGATTTGAAGGAAGGATTAAAAATCATATCAGATCATAGATAGATAGACAGATATGCATATTAGTTGCAGCACTTTAATCAAAATGCTGACTTATTGGATTTCTTTTTATTTAAGACCTTTCATTTTCATGTTTCTCTAGGTCATGCAATTATTTCCACAATCTCTGACTTTTTATTAACTAGCCCATTGACTTCACTAGCACAACTGATTGAGGAGGTACCTGGTGCTGTCCTGGTACCTGCCCAGGTGTATGCAGAGCTCTAGCAAGACTGGCACTCTCATCTCTCTTTATTGCCTGTATTTTGTAGTATCATAGAATGGTTTGGGTTGGAAGGGACCTCAACGGTCATCAAGCTCCTGCTTGCCTGCCACAGGCAGGGCTGCCAACCTCCACATTTAATACCAGACCAGGCTGCCCAGGGTCCCATTCAACCTGGCCTTGAACACCTCCAGGGTTGGGGCATCCACAATCTCTCTGGGCAAAATTTCATGGCTTCTTACCATCTTCTGGCCTTGGGAAATATTTATTTAACAATGCCTTTCTGGAGGGCCACTTCTGGTAGGCAGCAGCTGGATGAGCTGTACCTGGGATTACCTCAGCATTACTCCTCCCAGCCTAATCGCATGCCTTTTATCTGCTTCTGAGTATGCTTGAACACAGGAGGATGTTCTTTGAAAAGGGACTGAAAAGAAGGAGAGAGCTCATTTTTGAGCTGGGATCACTCGCTTTCTGACAGCTGCAGGAACACTTTTTCTTGTATATCTCTGAAATACCCTTAATTATTCTCACAGACAACTTGCAATGTAATGGCGTCCCTAAACTGTTAACCTTGAAAAAACATTTGACAATGTACTAACATCTCAGAAACTTGTTATTCCAGGGAATATAATAAACCCATAAATATCCTAGCTTCTCTCAGAAGTCCCAGAATAATTCTTTGTTGTCAGTCTTTTTGTTCCCCTCAATTTTTTGTTTTGACCTGGTAGCAGGAGATGCTGGAGAGAAAGAGCATGTTAAAAAGAGTAATAATAATAATAGCAAAAAAGCAGTTTTGAAAATGTAGTTATGTATCATATATAACGCCTCCTACAAAAGGAGATGTCCCTTGTCTTCTCACCATTTCTGTGCCTTGAGGGCACTGAAGGGTGGAGCCACTTAATGGCAATTTGGGACAGAGCTGGTCCCTGGTAAACAAAACCAACAACGCTGCCATTCCAGTGCTCTCCCCCTGCCTCCCTCCCCTCCTTCGCATGTGAGGTTTGTGTGTAGCTGCAAGTGCTGCTTTTTAAATAAACACCTCCTACTTTAAAAGAATTACAATGCCATATAGGCTGACAATGTGCTTAAATGCCATGCTTGCTTTGGCAGAGAAAATGAGAAATTGAAGATACCTGCATTTCTCTGACATCAGTGACCTTATTAAAGTCACAGAAATCCCAGATAACTGAATAACTTTAATTAAAGTTATTAAAATTTCTTTTATGTGTTAGTCCTTACAAGCTCAGAAGCTCTGTTACGTTCAACATGCTGGCATGGGTGGCTGTTGATAACAGAGATGCTCCTCTTCCAGGCCTGTCTGCTGCTCTTACCATGCAGCCGTTTGAAATCACTAGGAAAAAATAATCATAGGCTTAAAAAAGCTAAAGCAGACAGGTTGCTTCATATTATTTCAGTATGTGTGTTTGCTATCACAACCGAATGTTCCCATTAAAATAATAGTCTGATATTTTTTCTTCCTAAAATCAGATTCCGAACAGAAGGATTAGACTAAGGCAAATTCAGAAAGAGGGTTTGGATCTGGGTTCAAATGTGCATTGGAAACTGTGGAAACCCTTTCATCTGAGGCCTTCAGTATTTTAGTAATAACGGTTTTCCTAAAATTACATGTTCGTTATATATTTCTGTATCAGGGATTAACTATGTAGCTTAGCAGAAAACAGAAAAGGAGATCATTATTTTGTGATTTAATTTAGAGGAATTTGATGGCTGGGGATCAGTAGGGAAAACAAGCACAGCTGCATTACTTAGTATATTCTAATGGGAAAATAATAATTTCCGCGCTGTTCCTCCCTTATTTTCAGCACGTTTGTAGGTATTTCTCTCATATTGTGATCTAGCAGCTCAGAATGCTTGAAAAGCGCGAGTCTGTTTTTCACTAAAGGAGCACATCCTCACTTAGTTTGGATTGCCCTTCCACTTTTATTTGCTCATCTTCATACAAAAATGGTGTAACCATGCTGGTAAAATGACTTTAGTATGTACTTGGGAACTTGTGGCATGTAGACCAAAATCAATTCTCAACAGATCACAGGTACTTGTAAAACTTGGCCGTCCTAGAAATGCTTCACGGCCTGGACAGTATTTTTTGCCTTACAACAAATCTTTGAGGTAGGGAACCGCTTTTGCAGAGAGTGGAAGCTCAGGGGGCAGAAGGTGTCTGAGGTCATTCTGGAAATGCTTGGCACAGCAGGGTGGTGAACCAGCATCTTCCAGACCCTTCAAGCTTCAGCTTCCTCTTTCGATGCAGCTTTTCCCCCCAGACACAGCGTCCTTCTCTTCAATCCCTCCTAATGCCAACAGCTGACACTCTTATGTGGCTTAAACTGTTTAAACCATCCACCATATTGCAACGCTTACCAGGAAAATAACAGGGCTGTTGTGTCTACTCTGAGCATTTCCTCACCCGTGGTATTGCATTTCGAAATGCTGGATTTCCTCTTTGAGGAGCAGATTTGCGCGACTTGCTCTTTATCACATAATAGAACTCTTAGAGGAGCTGCTTTTTTACCTCTCTCAAGACGTAGCAGAAGACTGAGATGCTAAAAACAGCTTTTCAAAGATTCAAATTAACGCTGACAGAGCCAATTTCACCTGGACATAATACTGGGATCGTAACATGAACCATCACCAAATATCTGAGAGCTTGTGGGGGGTGTTTATGGAATCTTCTTAGAACATCAGCCATCTCTAAAATAAATGCAATTAGTGCTTGTTACCCTCCTGTCTAATTCTGATACTGGATTTTATCACTTTGGCCAAAAACATCATCTGATTCAAATACATCTATTCCCCACTTAGCTGAATGTTATCTAACACCAGCTCAGTGGTTGCTAGCTGTTCATTCAGGCTTTTGCTAGATACTTCCAAATACGTTTTAAAGCATGAGATTTGTTTCCAAACGATTAGCAACGACTCTGCAACTTCCTATTTGCTTAATTTATTTTTTTTTTTTTTTACTAGTTGAGTCAGCAATTTCAACATCGTTGTAATACCAATCAGAGCAATATGTCTGCTCCAGGAATACCATTGGCTCAGTGATGCGTCTGTCTGCATTGCCAGCTCCTTTCCTAGAGGCTTGTTTTTTTTTACACAGCATTCTGTTCGTCCTGTGCGTGCCACAGCTGCATATTGAAGCAGCACAGCAAAGGCTTTGGGGATTTCCCAACAATAAAGTTAAAATCTCTTCCCTGGTTAGTATTCAGCAGCACTATACCATTTAGCAGACATTTTCTCTTCTCCCAGTTTTCAATAGAATGCATTTATCAGCGTGGAGTAGCAATCAACATGCATTTGCTTGTGTATTTATGTAAGTCAGCTGTGTACTTCCTCATTATTTGCAGTTTTTCCTCCAAAAGTCTTTGCTTTCTGTTTCTCCTTCATGGAAACTCCAGCTAGAGTGTATCCTACAAAATAATATATTCTTCAGACCCCCCAAGTGTGATCTGAAGTAGCTGTCCTACTATGTAATTAGGCTCTTAATGGAGAGCATGGTCTGGTTAAGAGGAGCCAAAAAATGACTATTTTTATTTGTTGGAGAGCCTTTTTCAAGAGGCCAAAGGCTTGAGGCTTCAGAACTGACAGTTTATGATTTCACCAAAACTAAGATTCTCCATCCAGTGAAATTATTCTTAAAGCAGTTGGGTTAAAAAGAGAATAAGTTCCAGCTGATTCCATTGCCTGTGGCTTTACTGTCAGAACTGGGGTGTTGAATGAACAGTCATAGGAGGACTATGAGGAGTGGGAGCAAAGGCTGCATGAGAAAGGACTGCAACAACCTCCTGGCTTCTCAGGGACAAGATTTCACTTCTGTCAACGATGCAATGCATTGTTCTCTCCGATAGTAATGTTTCTCCAGGGTAAAGGAAGCAAAACCACACTATCCTTGAGTAAAGGAATTAAATTTGCTTTATCTTATTAGTTCATATGGAGCTGAGTTCATTAGTGACTTTCCACCGCTGCATCCTTCTTACTGAAGTCAGTGATTATATTTCCTCTCTAAAGCAAGCTTGCAAGTTTCTACACAGTATTGTGGCAAAGTTTCAGAAGCTTTGGGGCAGAGCGGCTGGCAGTGTTGGCATGTGAAGAATGCATCCTGAAGGCAAGAGCCAGATACCTACATCCCCTTACAAACCATGCACCAAACCCTGCAATGCCTTGGCTGTCCCACAGGCACTTGGGATGGGA